ATACTTATGCATACAATTATACCCCAACTTGCACACGTGTGTTTAATGTAAATAATACCATAGACATAGGTGTACTTAACTGATTTATTAAAGTTTTAAAGTTGTACACACTTATATATAAACTTGAAATTCAAAGAATTTGCATCCAAGTAACCATACAAGGGTATACGTAACTCGTGCATCGAGCTTACACGATTGTGCGCATTTACATATACCATGGAATATATATGAAATTCAATAAAAAAACACTTTTAAGTATGTTCAAACCAAACAATGAGTTCGATAGAATGAAAACATATGCATATATTATTTAAGAACTTACATGAAAATAGTTATGGACAAGTGTGTGTGACCCAACAATTAGGCTTGTAAAATTATAGACATGCAAGTACACATGGCCTACTAACCAAGTTTATGGGGATACACATAACCACAGCTTCAAGACTTGTTGCTATCAAACTATAGTAGCTAAAGGAATAGTACATTAACAATTGAAGACAATCAAGAAGAATCACATTAAACTATCATGATAAATTTTATAAATGATTAAGAAATTACCTAATTAATAAAAAAATTAGAAAATATATTACAATCAAGGTTGAGATAAATTAGATTACACAAATTTCAAAAAAATAATATTTTTATATATAATAATTTAGAGTTCAAAACTTAGGAACATAAATATACTATCACATCCGAAATTAAACTTCATTCAAAATTTTAACATTTAAATTAATACTTAATTCGATGCTATATCATTTTATAAGAAAGAAGCTAAAATTAATATATTTCATGCTATTTATTGGTAAGTGTATGAACATTATAAAATTTGAAGTGGGAAGTAAATAGTTCATTTAAGAGTAAAAAAAATGAAAGTATTTTTGAAATACAAGCTCAAATTTAATTTTTAATTTTGGTTATTATATAATATAACTAAATTTTGAAATTAATTAACAAAATTTGGGACTACATGTTAGCTAGATTATTAAAATGTTATTAATTTATAAACTAAAATAATAGTTATTATTATTATTATTATTATTATTTTAAATTAAATAGTTTAGAAATAGATTAAAATATGAGCTTTAAATAAAATATAAAAGATATGCATATTATGTTAATACAAATAACAAAAAGATAAATTAATTTTAAAAAAAACAAAAAAAGATGAAAATTAGACAATTGATACATTTCAACTAAAAAACTTCTGAAATTGCATTTTTTTCAAAAAAAAAATGCAAGATAAAAAGAATTGCCAATTAAATAAGAATTTAAAACAACAATAAGAAACAAAAAAACTCAATACAGTATTTATTAAATAATAATAATAATAATAATCATAATAATAATAATAATAATAATAAGAGAGAGAGAGAGAGAGAATGTGAGGATCACACCCAACTTTACTTAATAGAAATCAATGAGTTACATCTAGAAAACTCGGAATAAAACTCACTCAAAAAAGAAAAATAACAAATTGAAAGCATATACAAGCCCTATCAAAAACCAAGATCACTCAACCAGCAAGAGATCTAGCGGCAACTTTAACAACATCAACACAACCACAAGTCACATAAACAACATCTACTTTGAAAGCCCAAATCACTTTGAGCATGTAAAAAATGAACAAGGGAGAAGTACAGAAACCAAAATATACAACAAGCAAAAATGCAACTGACAACTTAAGAAAGTAATAGATAAAAAGAATTAGTAGAAAAAGAAAAGAAAACAATATAATTGAGTTCAGAACATACCTGCCAAAAAATATTAAAATAAAGTCTAAAATTTAGAATATGTAAGAATATATTTTGAAACTAGTTGAACTTAAATAATGATTGGAATTCATCAATGCTCATTAACCAATTTCAGCAAATTGTAATGATCAAGAAAAGAAACAAATTTATCAATAGCCAAACAACAATAATTGAATGAACCAATAGCATGGTATAAAAAATCTAGTAGAAAATTCAGGCAGCACCTAAATAGAAACACCACATTAAACTCAAATACCGAAGACAATAATCGAAAACAAATACACAAGGAGAAAAAATAACCAACAAGCCATCTAGCATAAATAAAAGACATAGCTAGCAAAAACATGAGACATAGCTAGCAGAAAACTAACAGCCAACTAGCATAAATAATAGCTAGCAACTCAACTAGCAGAAATAAGATAGATGGATAGATTAGAAGTAACAACAAATACCAAGGACTAACAACCAACACAAGGAGATCAAGCTACCATAATTCAATAGAAACAACCAGGTGAGCAGTCACTATACCATCCAAAAATATGAATAATAAATATTCATAATAGTTGTATTAAATGTAATGCACCTCCGAGATACCAATACAAAATTAGCAAAATTAAAAAGACAATAGAATTATAGGGAACAACAACTGAGCTCCAAAGCTCAAAAGTAACAAGAGCCATCGAATAAAAACATTCATCTTCATAACAAAAAAGAATTCAATCAACTTCAAAAAAAAATCAAATAGAAACATAAAACACACAAAAGGAGAGCTTGAAAGCAGAGAATAAATAGCAACAATCAATAACAAAGCAAAACTAACAAAAACCTACAGGTGTGCATTCAAAATACCATCCAATTTATGAATATTGAATATTCATAATGGTTACACTAAAATACAACACACCAACAAGTTAGAAACTAACCAACTAAAAACCAACAAAATATAAACACAAACAACAACCAAAAAAACAAATCAAAGAAAACGAAAAGTAAGAAGAAACTACAAAGGATCAAACCTAATACCATAAAGTTCAATGATGTTATTTAAGTAAATTTCTCTTGGATTTTCAATTCCTAATTTTATATATTATCATCTGATGAATATTATGAATAATAGAATCTATATGGGTATAAATTTATTTTTTAAAATTCTTGTATTTCTTTCAATCCATATGAAATAGGTCATTATTTACAAAGCAAGAAGATGAAATCTCTGTAGATTTTTATAAGAAATATGTTCGTAGTGCTAACAAATTTGAAAGATATTAGAAGGATCAATAAGAAAATCTTACCAATAACACATTTATTAAGAATAAAATGAAATAATTGACATTCAAAAAAGGGATGATCATGATTCTCTATACTATTAGAACAAAGAACATAAAAAATTATTAATATTTATATCTCATAAATTGAGAATATCACAAGTTCTAAGGTCTTCTATGAACAATTTTCTAAGTAATAAAAGCATAATTTATGGCATATCCTTCAAACCAAATAAATTTGAACCAATCAATACAGGGAAAAAATTCATGTAAGTGGAAACAAACTAACTTATGGTAGCAAATGTTAGCATTTTCAAAAGACAAGAATTACCTTGAAAAATAGAAATTTTAGCAATATCATCGATGAAATCAACAGGAACTTTAATAAGAGATCATAGTACCAACAATTATAACTAAAAACATCATAAATTTTATAAGTATTAGGAAGATTAAACCAATTGAAAGTAATCTCATCAAAATTCTATTTCAAAATTAACCCATTAAACTAAGGGTTATAAGAAGAATAAATGACTATTAGAGATAAGTTTGAAATTCAATGTTTTGAGTTGCAACCTTCAATTACAGCTTATAGCATATCTACCACCCTAAACTTCAATATTTAATGCAAGATAGTGAAATCTTTAATATTACCTACATTTTAAGAGTGTCATAAAACATTCTACATAGATTTATCAATTCCAAAATGTTATACTTATAAATGTGAAATTTTAAGTGTAAATACATATGAATTAAGTGGGATGTATGTGAATTCCCATTACACACACACACACACACACACACACACACTGAGCCCAAAAGATAATATGCACAACTCAAGTGTGAGTTGTGGCAGTAAGGGACTGCACCTTCAACTACTATTCTACGGATAAGTGTGCACTCATTGTAAGTTTGTAACTTATACTTATGAATGTTCAAGTTCAGACACCATTTTTAAAGAATGCAGCTAATGTGATCTCATGAGGATGTCATCAATTTTAAAATTAATGTTTTTAAAAATAAAAAAAAACTATCTTAGATATTATTTATTCATAAGAGACAAGAAAGCAACAATAAATATAAAACTAAAAGAAGACCCATAATAATAATATTATTATTAATATTAATAATACACAAATTCATAACAAAAATTAAACAAGCATAATAATATTAAAATAATACCCATATAGAACCATATAATAATTAATAATTAATAATTAATAATTAATAATTAATAATTAATAATTAACTGTTTGAGGCAGCTGCAGCTTATTGAATAATCTGCTGATAAGTTATGTGTGATGACTTTTACAATTTTTTATTTTTTTGAAAAAGTCAAACAGCTGCCAGAAAGTTGTTACCGCATCTATCTAAACCGTTATTTTCAGCGTTTTGAAAACACATAAGCTGTCAAAACGCAGTTTAACCAAACAAGTCAGGTGCGCACCAAATAAGCTGACAATATTAAAAAAAAAAAGAAAAGCCAAAAGCAATATAGTGCCAAAAAAAAAAGAAAAAAACAAATGTCAAGAGTTTTTAATAGTTCATATCCAAGTAATGTGCTGCAAAAAAAAAGTTAAAAAAAAAATAAAGAAATAAAAGGCAGTCTTGGTATCTGCTATATAATGCTGCAAAAAAAAAGAAATAAAAGGCAGTCTTGGTATCTGCTATATATATGTTCGTGGAATAGTTTCCACGTTTACTATAATGCATACTATAATCCAGTTCCCCATGAGCAACCCATTCTTTAGAGAGGGATTTACCTGCATCTCAAATAAATACTATAAATTTTCATACATATAAAACCTAAATCTTTATATTAACTTATATAACAACATAATCCTAAATCATATCAAAATATATCATTACAACTAAATCATGAAATGACGCAGCTCATATATTTTGATATGATTTAGACATTAAGGCATTATATAAAGATTAAAAGGTTTATACGTAAATATGTAAAAATATAAAAAATTAAAAGGTTTATACGTAAATATGTAAAATGTTGTGATATGCATGCAAATCTCCCATATTTTTTAATTCATCGAGCTGCTCATCTTCTAACAGTAAAACATCACGTTTGCGACGTTTTCTGGAATAGCTGGGAGACCAGTTGTGGGTGCGGCTGATGTGGTAGCTGCCGAAGCGGTTGCAGTTCGTTGGCGTGTTTTTCCACTGACTTGACTTGATGCATATTCAGACCCTGTATCTATGTAATATCGAGCCCGGAATGCTGCAAGATGCGCATAATATGCAGGAGGAACTGCAAAGCAACACAGAGTGTTAGTCGAGGCTTTTAAAAATCATAAAAATCAAGCTCATGGAGGCAGTGGTTGATGAAAATAATTACCAATAGAAACAGAGCGCGTGCATCGGGCATATCTGTACAAACAAAATGTTACAACTATTTAGGTCTAGGCGACAAAACAACTCACTAGCAGTCAGGTATGCATTTACATGTCTATCATATAAAAGATATTATTATTTTAAGTAATAAAAATGAAATAGAGCTTTTAATACATTGGTAAGGTGGCATTAGCCGGGTAAAAATTGAAGTTTGGGTGTTAGATATGTAAATACATAGAAATTGAGTGGTCTGTGTGTAAAACTTGTCAAGATATAGTAAACTTACGTGTAGCATAAGTTATTGGTTAGCGACTGCAACTGATCAGCAGTAAAATTGTTTTCATCATGGAGAACATGATAATGAGCGGGACGACTTGTGCCCTGCGGATAAATGCCAGTTTTTCTAATAAAAATCTACTTGTGAGGTAAGAAAATTCTAGCCAAATTCTCTGACCAATTACAAGTTTGAGAGTTTCTACGTAATAGAAATTTTACCTGAATACCAGCATGACTGCAAAGGTAGAAGTCGAACTCATTGGGATGGCAAATCTTTGTATCGACTACCGTACCTAAGAATAAAAATATGTTGAGAAGCTGCACCATAAATTGATTACTCCAGCCATCAAATTAACATTACCTGGCAAAATGTTCCCGCTCCTATCAGCCATTTTTGTATTCTCAGGAAATAAACGAGTATGGTGTCTCTTCTGCACCACTATAAATGTAGTTGGTGGAAGATATCCTTCTTGTATTGAGGCACAAGCCTATAAACCATTTGTTTGAATCAGTTATTCGAAAGACTATAGAAAAGGAATGTATTTTTTTAAAGAAAATCATTATAATTATAATAAAATGAAACTAACTCTTCGAATAGCATCCAGTTCCGATGTAAGCACAATGTTGAATTGGCCTTCACTAACACCATCCCTACATATAACAATTTTAAATCTTCCCAGGTTAACCGATGGTGCATCCATAGGCATAGCAATGAGTTTAAAATACCATCAGATAACAAACCTGTAGAATATGATGCGATTTGGTTTACGGCCTGTCGCTTTATGGAACGCAAAAAGAAGCTCCCTGTTGATGTATAAAGTTAGTTTAAGTTTCAGGCTATCCATTCAAATTTTATTTCACAACTTGACCAACCTTATCATTCCCCCAGGCACTCCATCGTCAGTCTTTGTATAGAGCTTCTCTATAATTTCTCTTGTACGTTGTTGTGCAGATAAAAGACATTTGTACTTTGTTACGTAGGGCCAATCCATAGATGCAACCACCTGGAAGTAACCCATAGAATCAAATAAATGTCACAAAAATCATGCTTAGAGAGCGACTAACATTTATCATGGACAGGACAAACGGACCGCAGCAATGGAGGAAGAGTCTTCTCCAGGGGCCGGATGGGTGACATCAGCTCCAAATATAATAGAAGGCTCTTCGGATATGACAGGGATTGAACCTCTGACAGAATCTTCAAGAACAGTATTACAGCCACCAGCCTGTTGCTTAAAAGTGAAGGATAAGAAGCAGCATAAAAATAACATGCTTGCAAAAGATAATTAAAACAATCACAAACCTTCACATTGATTTTCAAAGCTAAATTTTCAAAGTATTGTCTATTTGGCTTGTTTAGGTGCTTTGACTGGCAACACTGAGTGACAATACCAAGCTCAGTATCACAATATTTTTTTATCCTGCCTGTGAAACCCAGACCAAATGATAGATAGTTAAATTAAAAACATTAGAAAGTGAGCAAGCTATAAACTGAGAATATACCATATGCACCCTTAGCCTCTGGAAGAATAACAACTAGCAATTGAAGCGGCTTAGCACACGCTTTCACAAAATCATGTATGCTATTTTCTATACGTTGATGGTGACCTGAATCGATGATCAAAGCATTTTGATTGAAAACCTACATTTAAACAATAATTAATGAGCAGCCCATGAATGGTAGAGCATAATCTCAATTCAAGGCAAAAGAAGATATAGGTAAGAACCATTCCAATGCGGTTGCACGCGAAGACTATCTCATGGCAGAAATCTTGAACGATATTCTTATAATGACGAGAAAAGCTTATGCATGCCCAAGCATCAACACTACCGCCTCGAAACACTTTCTGTACAAGCACAACAAGGATTCATTTAAAGCTATGACAAGGATAAAACAAATATATAAAACAAAAATTATAAAGATTGGTTGATACGAGGATAAAAACCCTTTCCAAATAAAAAAAAATGTTCATTTAAAACCATTTTAAACTACTTTTTAATCAAAAAACCTACCATACAAAAACAGAGGATTAACAATGCATATAAGAGTACTTAAGAGCAATGCGGGCTAATTTCATAAATCTAGTAAAGATTGAATTCACCTTATTATTCATACTCCATTTCCCCCCAAAGGGTTGACAGCCCTTCTCAGCGCCACTATCGTGATACTTCAGCTACATTTAAGAAATGCTTCCAAGGTTTTAATTTGAACTGATTAGAAAATAAAAACAATAATGACGAAGTAACTATTTACTCTTGGCGGTTGTAGCACTCGTGCTTCAACTGTGATAAGATTAGGTTGAACCCCAATACCAAAGTTTTTTGCAAATAGATCATTGTCATAATTATTTTTCCTGACCAGCTGCGAAAGCAATGAAGATGTCAACATAAAAAAAAATGTAGAATCAATGAAGTAGCCCACCCATTAAAATAAAATGCAAAGACAATATAAAGTTCCAAAGCAGATTTAAATTCACATGCACCAACCTCCAAAATTTTCCCCTCCCTCTCAGTTGGAGGCGTACAAGCTACTTTTAGTATTTCACTAACTTGCACTTCATTTAACTTCTTAACATACCTCTGTCCATCCACAATTTGGCATACCTATTAAAACTGAGAGTTTTAGGACCAGAGCTGAACAACAAATTGCTTAAACATAGAAGCAATGCATTGGAAGAAAGAAAATTATGAATATTGTAGTCAAGAAGAACCTCTAGTGGCAAGTATTTTGGCTTGCTATCACTACCGGCTTTAATGCATGGTAGTGAATCGTGCCTAAGATTATACTTGCAATGTGTTCTAAAGTATTGGGCCACAGATATTTTAGTTCCCGCTGTTTCATCAAGAGTGAACCTGTTGAAGAAAACTATTAACTAGAGGGAGCCAAGTAGGATAAAAAATGGAAATTTTTTGTGGGAACCGAAGTGCGATGAAAAAAATCAAACAAGAAAACAACATACATCAACTCTTTAGCAGACTGTGATGTAATTCCTGTGATTCTATAGCGTCTACGCACATTTGGTAAATGAACTGTTTCCACCCGGACTCCATTCAACGCCTTTTGTATCTGAAATTTCCAAAGGTTATTTTTGCACGGGACAACAGCACATATGCTTTGATATTGGCAAAAAGTGAAAAGCTTGTGTAATTTTGTACAAAATAAATGAAAGAATACGACTCAAATAGGAAAAAGAGTGGCTCAAACAAAAGCATAAGCAAATACCTCATGACGTTCCCTATCAGATAAACTTGTAAGCGTATGTCGTTCATTATAAAAACCCGAGATAAAGGTTAATATGCTCATTGACTTGTAGAAAGGTGTTGCAGAGGTATCTGCAATTTGAAGGCAAAGGATGAATATATCATTGCAAATTATGAAATGAAGTTAATAATTTTCAGATAAACCAAGCATTGATAAGATACAAAAACCCCCAAAAAAAAAAAAATTCATTTTCATTACCAGCATTCAAGGATTTCAAGGATAAGCCCATTTGTGTTGGTCGAATGCTTTGGAAATAACCCCTCCAACATTCTAAACCTCCAGACATATCCATTTTCCCAAACTGATGTGAAAAGAATGATCTTGAAACTGTAACGTACCTGTAAAAAGAAAGCCAGCCAATTTAAATTTTAAAAAAATGCTTCAAAAGAGACATAAAAAATTAGGTCGGATTTATTTCAATACTTATTTGAGGCAGACTCTCGGAGGACAATATCCAAAGCAGTTATGATATCCTGAGGGCATTCCGTCTGCCTCCCACTCAAAAACTGTGCTAGAGCATACTGATCCAAGGATTTTACAAAATTGATAGAAATGTTGAATGTTCTGTCCCGGCTGCAAAAAGTTACAAATGTTAAATTATAAACATAAAATTAAGCAAAAAAACTGCAAACCTAGAATTACCAGCAACCTCATGCAAAGAGAACCTAGATGATTAGGACTGAAATACACACGTGGAATAAGATCTGGAAGAGATGGGTAGGGGGATTTGTGTTGTGTGTGTAATTAACTATACAGATGTAGCTTGCGTTGCTCATCTCTTTGCCTATATCGTACTTCTCTGTTTCTATAGTCGAGACACATCTGTCCCCAACCTGAGCTGTTAGCTTGCCACGCTACTATTTTTTTCTATACATAGCCTCTATATTCCTTGCTACCCAGTAGTTCATGAAAATCTGCATCGCCTCCATGGATGGTAGTGGAGAGATTAGCACCATAATTTTCTAGTGGATCCTAAATAAAAAGTAGACCAATAATGCAGCATTTTCTAGAGATTTTTCAACAAATTATCGATTAATATTCCACGAATTAAAACCTTTGTGTGAATGCCTTGTTACAAGAAATCCATAATTGATATACTTCAACAGAGTAGGAAATTAGGACATTTTGAAATTGTGGCCCTAACAAAGGAATGTGGTGTTATCATGCAGTAGAAATTACCACAATAACTCAAGGACCCCTGTAGTTTTACTATTTCACGTCCTATTTGAGAGACTTAGGAACAAGCATTAACCTCATGCCCCTTTCCATTTAAAGAAAAGACTAAGATTGGGAGAGGTCTAACTCACAAAATTGACCTTACAATTAGTGGACCGATCTTTGACCCAACTAAGGAGGGTGATAGAGGATGGCTTAGTGAAGGCTGACAAGTTTATTTTTCCTATTGATTTTACTGTCTTAGGTATGGAGTAAGATAAAAAAATTCTAAATATACTTGGCTTACCCTTTTCAGCCATGTAAAAAGCAATGGTTGGTGTTCAGAAGAGAAAACTTGCCATGAGAGATAACGATTAGAAGGTAACTTTTGGTGCTTTTAAATCAATAAAGTTTCTCCAAGATGCTAGAAATGATTGAAGCTATATAGTAAATGTAGTGGAAGGGGTAGTTGATAGACCATTTTTTTGAATTTGTAGAAATCAGCCCCATTGAGCAAGTTGTGGTAAATGAATTTTGTTGTCAAAAAATTAAGGAAGAATTTGCTCTACTTTTTGATGTAGACCCTAGAATTGTTAATGATGTAGTTGAGATTTTAGATACCATCACCCATGTCAAGCCTATAGGACCATTCATAGAAGGAGCTATAGAGTTAAAATTAAAAAGTCCTTTTAAGCATCTCGAGTATAACATTTTAGGAAAACCTTCCAACTTTCCACTCATGATGTTGATTGAGTCGAGTGAATAACAAGTAGAAAATTGGCAAGCCTTCGATAAACAGATATTTTTTTAGGATGTATCATTGGAGTAAACCCTCGACCTATCCTTCAAAAGATCATTGTAGGTGTGCGACGGACATATTATAGAAACTCTAAACATAGGTGTGGGGAGGAACATATAAATTCTAGAATACTTGTAGTTATGACTGAGATTTTATGACTAAGAAAATCCTCTAGGATAGTTAAAATTTAGTAAACTTGATCTAGGATTACTGAAAAATGCTAATTGATCCTAAAGAGAACATATAGGTTTGACTTGACTATAGGTTGAGCTGAGGATGTTAAAATTAATGCTAATTGGGAGGTAAGCCAAGCATTATCTTATGTTTTGAGCATGTTTTATCTTGTATTTGCATCAAAATTTGCTTTAAGAATTATGTGTTGTGCTTTGAATTGCTTTATGTGTGTTCTTTATTTGAACATTGTCATGGCAGTTTTGGTTGAGACACTTTACCCGATTTGGTTGCAATTGCTTTGTGAAATTTTTTGCTTGTGTTTTGCAGGAGACTGTTCCCTTCATACATGCTATAATTTGCACTTGTCAATCTATAATACATTTAGCTTTGCTCTTGTGTGTTTTGTGAGATTCCCTGTTGTCACATGTTATATAACCTTTTCCTTTCTTGCACTCTTTCATGTGGCATGTATTGGATAAAAAATAAGTTTGGGGGAGGAAACTAGACATGTATACTTGCCTTAGTAATATATATATTTGAGTTGTTGAGAGTACTTTAGAGAGGTGCCCCCTAACGAGAATTTCGGTAATTTGATTGTTATAGAATGACTTCAATAGAAATATAAATATTTATTAAAAGGGAGATTAAAAGTGATTTTGCAATAATCAAGTCCTTCCCTTTTGTAACATTTACTAGAATCTTAAAAAGACCTAAAATATTTTTAAAAAGTGTAAATTACATAGAAATAAATAACTAGGGATGATAAAGCCTTTAAATTTTTAGCTCAAACAATTTAATTGATTTTAACTATTAATTGGATTTTAGTTGTCTAGAATTCATATTAAGGTGTCTTTGATGATTAGCAATTCAGGTGATTAGATATTAAAAATTATTAAGAAAAATATTCAACAAATATAGTAATTCCTCAGTGAAATTAAAGATAATTTTGAGCTTAAGAATAACAAAAGAAAAAGAAAAGCACAATTATCTAAGACAATGATTCAAGAAAAAAGTTAACAAAAAGGAAGTGTCCAATAGTTTTTTTTTTTTTT